GTAAAAAAAAAAAAAGGATCCAAAGCACCAGATAATTATATAGACAACATAAAAAATCATGGTAAAACCTACAGCTGCGTGACCATTAAGCGCTCAACAATTTACACATTGAAGCCATTGTGTCTCTGATTCAACAACTTGAATTTTGATGCAGCATATATAAATCTAAAACAACAAACACAAAAGCAACATTTTAAACTTTCCATCCACAAGCAACAATAATAACATTAAGTTATACGTATTTAGTTGTGCAAGCCAACCAAATTGAGCAACACGTTGAGCTTTGGTTTGTCAAAGAACACTTGCACCTTTTCAAATCCAAACTTCATTAATTCAACCGCTTTCAAATAATTCCCAACTTCAACTGACTCATAAGCTAGAGCATGTCTACAAAACTCATTACCAAAGCTGCTTTTTCAACCATCTTGTTTACATATAACTTCCTCTATTCCTATGATCAACAAAAAAAATCCAAAAACTATAATTATAATCGACGAAATAAATTAAAGATAACATCACATATAAGATCTTATTTCTCGTTAAAAACTGAATTCATAAACGGTGTACCATTATCAGTACAACACCACTTGAGATACAATTTATATCTCCATATCAATTGCTCAATTACTAAAAAGCATTATGAAATTGAAAATCTTTGTAAATATATTTCGTTAGACGCAACTAAATATAGCCAAATTCTAACTATCATTAGTATACTTACTTTGTCATATTAATATTTTATTTCTCAAACATACTTACAAATATATGTGATAAATACATTTAATAAAATTAGACAAAACTTGGATACCTAAACAGTGATAAATTCACTTCATTTTCTTAATTTCCTTCTTGCAAGGTCTTCAGTGAATAAAAAAATAGAAGAAAAGGATCCACCAGGCAACATCCAGGATAAATAATAAATGATCAAAACATAAATTATGAAAATTTCAACAAGCAGCCTAGATTTTAGCTTCAACAAATTGAGAAAAAAATTTGTAATCTCCTCGTAACACAAAAGAATAAAAAAAGAAATTGAGGTGAGAGTGATTACCCAGCATATTGAAGACGAAAGTAAAACTACTGGCAAATCTTCTCTGGATTGGTTGTGCTTATCTCTAGAAAAATCTTTCATCCAAGCTCCACTTCAACGAACTTCCTAAAATCACCAACACATTAAAAAATAAGAAAAAATATCACCATTTTACAATTTCTCTAAAAGTATTGTAAAGAAACAATAAACCAAATCATGTCCAAAATAGCAAACCAACTCCTATTCAATATGATACCAGTGTTTCGAAGCAGATACTTCTAAGTTAATAATATATCCTTCTTCTTATAGCATTTAAACTATTAGCATCTATGGCCTTGTTTGAGCCACCTTTTTGTAGAATGAGAATGAAAAATATAGCTGTTATTGGGGCCCACACAAGAGATAGAAAATTTGAATTTAAATGTTGATATGATGGATAACGTTCATATTTTTCATTTTAATGAGAAAATAAGGTAGCCCAAATGGGGCTATATTTTGAAAATTTTATGATGTCTTATGACACCATTACAAACATTGACTACAAGAATCATTATAATGATGAAATATTGGTGATGTGGCTGTATATGTGGAATACTGAGATTTGACAGTTCAATTTTTATGGTGGGGAGAGAGAAGAGGGAGAAGTGCGAGGGATAATGAATTATTACATCACCGATATTCCATCATCATGATGATAAATATCATTACTCTAACTTCAATCTTACACTACATTATAATCCAATCACTCTCATTGGCTATATAATTTCCAGCACGAGCACCTCTTTATGTTAAAAATTGGAAATAAGCAAGCATAAAATATTACCTCACTCGCTTGATTAAGGATAACATTCATTTAAGCATTTTTTACTTTTTAATGCACAATGTTGACATTTTCACAAACTACATTTCCAGTAAATTAATAGACGAATTCATGATACCACTCGAGTCATGGTTGTCTGATCGAAACAAATATGAATCAACCAAGTATCCGTTTTCACAAGATTTGGAAAATGTTTCTAGAATGTTTCTTGAAAAAAATTAATTAAATGAATGAATGCTCATTAATCTCATTGTTACTACAAACATGCCATGGCTCTAAAATCAAAAAATTATTGTAAGATGTGAGAATTACCTTCGTCGATCTGTTAAACCTTTAACAAATCCAAAACCGAAAGCAATTGATCGGAGAGTATATACTTTTACCCGTTAAAGTGCAAACAAATTTTTGAAGTTGGGGTTCCAATTTTGCGATCTGTACAAAGAAATCATGAAGAAAAGGACAAGAAAAAGAACTGTAAAACCCAAAAGATTCTTGCAGATATGGAAACAGACAGTAAATCCATACACCTTGACTAGGATTCATAGCAAAAAATTGACATTTACTCACCAGAATACCTTGTTTCCATCATTATTTCGAGCAATTTCTCTATCAATCATGAAAACTTCAAACCCTACGAAAAAAAGGTCAGGACCTTGGCAACAGAAGTTTTCTGGCAAAATTTGAGCAGAGAGAATCATGGGAGAGAAAGAAATACAAAAAAGAGAAGAAGAAACGAGAAGTCTGCACAAGGGGGGTTGCATGGGGGAAATGGAAGAGGAGTGATTGGTTGTATGTGAGAACGGATGAAGAGAAAAAATGGGTACCAAAAAGAGAGTAGCATAGCTCGCACAACGTCGTTTCAAATTAGGCTCAAAGAAAACAACATTGAATTGGAGGTTGACGATAGGAGGTGATAACTTGTGTCCAGTATCAATAGTGACTTATGTTAGACTCTTTTATATCGTAGTGAAGTGTAAAAAAGAGAGGATTTTGAAGTTAACGGATT